AAATTTGCTTGGCAACACTACGACCATACTCATATTTATAATCGCCTCTATTAATCATATTTATAGTCCCCTCTATCAAACAATGATTATAATTTGGAAGCTATTTAGCTACTATGAAAACCTATCCATATGCATTCCATAAACATAATTCTCTGCTCCTCAAATATTCCCTCTTCCCAATACTAACAGCATTTCCTGAATATCATTTCTTAAACAGATTCTTAAAGCTAAGCATAAATATATTGCTCAGCTGTTACGCTCGCTCGTGTCACGCATCAGCCGTGTCCCTTTTCTGGAGCTGGCTCAAAATCAAGGCCACAAATGATTTGACTTAAAAAACAAAACAAGGCAACAAAAAAATTTCCCCAGAGCCAATGGCAGCTGGCGTAGGTCCTTGACGATTATGGGAAATTGTATGGCTGGGCATAATGTGATGGCATCATATGATTTATAATATATAATAATTTCTATGCATTGGCATCGGGGCACTCAAAAAAATAAAAAAAAAATAACGTAAAAGAGAGTGAGGGAGAGAGCGGAAGGTAAGAAGGAAAATAAAACCGTTGAAGTGGGCAGTGGGCGGGTCGGCATAGGATGTGAAATATCAAATACAAAATACATAAAGGTGCCAAGGGAATTGAGGGTTGCGTGGGCGCAATACACCTCAACTCACCCACACAGACACACACATACATATAGTGGCACTCACACAGAGGGCACATCAGGGGCTCTTCAAGACGGAGAACCCAACAATGTCGTACATTTTGCTTAGATTGTTATCAAAGCCTAAAATGTCATGAATAAAATACACGCAGCGAGCGAAAAGGAGAAAAGAAGCGAGAGAAAGTGTAAGAGCGAGAGAGAGAGAGAGAGAGAGAGAAGTTGGTATATATTTCTATATATATGTGTGTATGTGTGTGTGTGTGTGTGTGCACTTGAGTAGCTGCAACGCCTCTTCGTCCCCTTGGCCGCCCACTCATTGACTAGCATAGTGATTTACAAACGTCGGGACTAGTAGGTGCCGTGTCGCCCAGAACGACACGAAGACCGGGAAGAAGAAGAAAAAGCAGCAGCAAGACTCACCTAATAAAAATGTTGCTTCCGGTTTGAGAGCAGGCTCAAACAAAGTGGGATTGGGACTGGGGGTTGGGGTTAGGGTGCCTGACTGTTGTTCAGATAGGCGTAAGGACCAATCGCAACAATTTTGCTGAAAGCAAGGCAAATACTCGCATTGTTACAAAGGTTACACGTGTTACGCCTAACGATTGTCGAGCCTCAAAGCGTTAACGTTTTGTATACGGATAAGCAATGGCAAACAGCTGCGGGCCAAATAGCTTCAAAAACTGAGCCCGGAAGGGAACACCACCCCACCACCCCAACACTCAAACCGACCTGCCCCACTAACAAAAGCCGAACAATGGCTGAACAACAATAGACTTCAAGAGCTCTGATGACACTTTGAGTTATTTTGTTGATGCTGTAAAAACACGAGCGAGCCCCAAGATATGCGATGGTAGATTTATTGGGGCTGCAGATAGAAAAACTCGCAAAAGATGAACACAAGACTGAAAGGGCAAAAACTGCAAAAAAGGTGGAAAAGCGACTGCCCAGAGCTGAGCGTTTGATAAGGGCCAACGCAACCCCTTGAAGAGAGTGTGTCCAGTGCTAAGCTTTTCAAAAAAAAAGAATGCATTATGTATATGTGTGCGTATAAACAACAAGTGCGAATGAGTGGGAATGTCTAATGATGAACGAGCTGATGCCCTGATGTAACATAAGAGCTGTGAATATTAGAGTACAGATTCTCTATAGAGGCAGGAAATAAATTTAAGCGCTGACTATGAAAGAATATGGTAACCCTAAGAATTTATTGACCAACAAGTCTGTGAAAACATTTGGAATCTACTTCTATAATGAATATTAGTCAGCTATAATTGATATTTATTTATTTTTTAATATTAAAAACATTGATTATTAATATTTTTTTTTAAATATTATTTTATAGTTTAGGTATTATTTATTTTATTTTATTTTATTGAAAAATATTGATTATTAATAATTTTTTTTTTTAATATATTTAGTTAGTTTCTTTATTTTAATATTATTTTATAATTTAGGTATTATTTATTTTATTTTATTTTGTTTTTTTAAATTTTTATTTATTATTAAAAATATCAATTTTCTCTTATTTTAATATTTTTTGGTGATTTAGATATTATTTATTTATTTTTATTTATTTATTTTTTAAATATTTAAAATTTTGATTATCAATAATTTTTATAAAAATTAAAAAATATATATCTGGAGATTTTCTTGTTTTAAATATTAATTTCATAATTTAGATATCATTTATTTAATTTATTTCTTTTTTAATACCTATAAAATATAAATGCCGTTTAAATATAAAAACG